GAGGTCAGGCTAGGATGATGGCTAGGAAGAATGGCGAGAGCATGGAGAGTGTTACGAGAATGTTTGGAGAAAGATGAGGGGTTTCAGTATAGAGGCAAAGGAACAAATAGGCAAGAGGAAGGGGAAAGGGTACACCACCAGCAGTTGTAGCTAATATCTAACTAGTACACTCGAAAACTGTAGGCAGTTATAATAGGATATGCAAATATCAGTTTAACACTCCCATCACGCGTGTCGCGCATGCGCCTGCTGGGACCGCGGCTGCCGCTGTGGGGGGGAAGTCTGCGGCCTCGAGCCTGTAGCGCCAACCGTCACCTCAGCTGTGCCCTTGCTGCGCCCCAGCAGCGGCCTCGTCACGCCATCCCTCATGCCTGCCGCGCTTGCGCCTTCTGCGCACGCGGCTGACGTTGTGGGCGAGAGGCTAGGGGGGTGGCCGTGAGCCTACATTGCCAACCAACTCCCCAGCTGCCGCCGTTGCACCTGTTGCTGCCGCACCTGCTGCCGCATCAACCGTCGCCGCCGCACCAGCCGCTGCTGCATTTGCCGTCGCTGAGCACCTGCATTGCCGCCGTTTCACCTACCTGCCGTTGCTTCTTCCGCTGCGCATTCTTCCGTTCCTATTGGTGGTGTTCCCCATCAGGGGCTGTTAATTTCACTTATTCTTGTTGCAGGAAGTTACGGGGGTGTGTCAAAATATATTTATATATTTTCATATAACTGCCTTGTAGCAAGCTATAGTGTAGTTTGTTTTTGGTTGTGCATTGCCTAAATCCTGCCTTGGCTCGTAAAAATTCCACTTGTTCCTCTGGTAAACCCCTTCTGTAACCTCTCACTACCTTCTAGGATCCTGTGTCATATTATATTTACATATTTGTTAGTTATGCTAGTCCATAGCGAGGTACTCCTTACAGAGCACAACCCTTGCTATTTGTATCTCGACATTTCTCTCGACATGGTAATAGAGTAGGATTCTCCCTCCCACACATCCGCTCCCTCCCTTAAGCCTGTACTTAGTGATATTAAGCAGAGGCGCTCGTCCCTTAGGCTCGTGAATCGCGGCGTGAGGGTAGGGCCGCACTGGCGCGCGGGCGGGTTTTTCGTGGCGCGGGAAATGTTCATTCGTGGCATAACTTTCTCGTGGCACCTTGTCACATTAGCATCAATGTGAAGGGTGTAGTGGGAAGAGTTCGAGGGATGTGTAAATTGTACATATTGTACATAACGAGCTGTGTGAGTATCGAGGATGGAAGGCGAAGGGTCAGGTGGCTGTTGGGAGAGCGAGGAGAGCAAGGGGTGAGAAGGTGGTAGACGTTTGCCAAAGCGAAGGGTTGGGTACTTGCATGGGAACTGAATTGGGCGGGACTTACGTAAGTAGAGAGTGGGTGTGGGTGGGAATTACAGTGTTCGGCAGCGGCAAGGGAAGTGGGGGTGTTACCACCAGTACTTGGATGGGTGTTCGTGTGCATGCGTGTTTGCTTCCATGTGTGTGCAGGCGTGCTCCAAGGAGCCAGCTGGATCAGGGCAGTGTCAGCTTGAGGCAAAGTAGCTTGAGGCAGGGAAAAGAGGTGTAGAAGCAGCGTGGATGCAAGTCTGCTCGAAGGTAGCAATAGTTGCTAGAGAACAGACTAGGGGATGACGGGACGGGAAAGGAGGATGCAGAGCTGGAAGTATAGGCGGATCCTTGTTGTAGCTAACCTCATTGCTTGTATGTTTCCCTTTTTTACACGAGAGTTTTGCGGCAATCCGAGCAAGCAGTGACATTAGGGAGATATGACTAGCAAGACCTAGGAAGCCATGGTATGTGAAGGAGCAGAGAGCTCATCACATACAAGCAATCTACCGGAGTAGGGCATGCCCACAAGATCAGGGTTAGATTTCGCCGTGAAGGATCAGGTAGCGGAGAGTAGAGAGATGGAAGGTGACGGGAAGAATGAGCATGAGATCGGAGTGAGGCGGACGCGCACGGCGCGGAAGGAGGGGTTGCCGGGAAGCCGAGCGGAGCCACGGGCTCAGATGAGGAGCGCGAATTGACGCGCGGAACGGAGAAGGAAGGAAGGATAGGCGGAGTGGAAAAGCCCGTCTCGGAAGGAGGCCCCGCTGTAACGGAAGGAAGAAGGGGGAGCGATCGGCCATATCAGCGGAGCGCATCGTGGCAGGGCTTCGAGGAGGAGGCGGCATCGTCACGATGGCGCTACACGATGCTCCTGAAGGTGGAGGTGCCAGAGCGATTCTCACGAGAGGTGCGACGGGGACCGTCCCTGAAGAATTATCTGATGCAGCTGGAGAACTTACGTGCGCGATGGGAACGCGATAGGCTGGCTGCAGACGAGTTCTTCAGAGGTCTGGCAAACACGCTGACGGGGGAGGCCGAGACGTATTACCGAATCTGCCGGCGAGAACTACTGGATTGGGCAGAGCAAGGGAAGCCGGGAGAAAGAGATCCCACCAAGCGCTTCCTAGAAATGCTTCGGGACCAGTTTCCGATGCAGACGCCAGAGCGGGTCGTCGAATTTAGGGACTTCAAACGGAGGACAGGGGAGTCTCTTCTGGCATACTACGGGCGACTCGTGGAGCTCGGAGAAGATATGAACTGTATGGATCAGGGTCGCCTTGTCAGCAAGTTTCTAAATGGGCTGAACTACGAGCTGCAGCGGGATGTACACGTGAAGATCTTCGAGATGGGGGCAGCGGCGACGCTGGGAGTAGCGTACAAGACAGCAAAGAGGGTGGAAACGGGAAGGCGGTTGTTTGAGGTGGAGCGAATGGGAGAACGGTCCATGGAGAGGAGGAGGCCCGCGTGGAGCGCCAGCCCTGTTGAGTACGAGCGACCGCCGAGAGGACCTGCGGATACGAGGAAGTGTCATAACTGCGGGAAGGGAGGTCATCTGCGGCGAGATTGCCGCAACCCACCAGCGTGTTCCATCTGCGGCAAGGAAGACCATCTGCGGAGGGAGTGCCCAGAGGCGCCAACATGCGAGAAGTGTGGAAGGAGAGGGCACGGAGAGCGTGACTGCTACGCGCGCCGAGGGGACACCAGAGAGAAAGGAGAGATGGCTGAGATGCGGGCAGAAATCGAGAAGCTGCGAGCGCAACTCGAGGGGCAAGAGAGAGGAACAGAAAGGAAGCCGGCCATGGTGGCGAGGGAAGAAGAGGAAGAGGAAGGCAGCGAGCAGGGGTTCTGCTTAATGGCAAGACCCGCGAGGGACAGAGAGGAGTTGGGCCTATGGCCAAGAGAGAGGTACCTGAGGCAGCGAGTGGAAGAGCGACAGGAGTATGGACCCAGGCGGCATGCGGGAGAAGCCAGAGAGGAACAACCACTGCGCCGGCACCCGTTGGAGAGGCTCAGCTGTGCGGCGTCAGTGCTGGTCGCGGAGAAGGGCTACATCACGGTGGGAGGCCTGCCGGTGAAACAGGCAATCATTGACACGGGCGCACATCCAGTGCTGATTGGGAAGCGGCTGGCAGGGCAGCTGCAGCTGGACAGGCCAGAAAGGCAGATAGCAGAGGGGCTGCTGCTGATGACAGCTGAAGGGGGCGGAACCAAATGGATGCCGAAAACGTGTGCGACGGTGGATAACATGATAAGGCGCGGGAGTCAGGAGGAATGCTCTGTGAAGTTACAGTGCGGCATCTCGCCGTTGGAAGACTACGACCTGCTCTTGGGAGTGGAGTTCCTTTACAGCACTGGGGCGACCATCTGTATGTGGGAGGAGAAACTGCTGTATCGAGTGACTTACTGGGGGTATAACGGTCCGCTGGCAGAGTTGCCAGTACGTTTCATTCGCCGTGAGCCACGTGAAGCATACCAGGTGGAGGTGAAGACGTCAGAGGAAGAGCTGGGGAGGATGAATTGGGAAGAACTGGAGGAGGAGAGACGTTACCGAGACTGGCATCGGCAGCAGTGGGGGGAGAGCGACAGACTGAAGGAACTTCACCTGGATAGTCGAGTGTTTCAGAAGCCCATAGTGCTCCTGGAGTTGTTCGGGGGCATCAGCACGGGGCTGGCGGCGGTGTTGAAGGCATGCATGAGGGTAGAGAAGTACATATACGTAGATAACGACGGCGCATCGAACATCATGGCGTGGCATCACATCAAAAAGCTGGAGGAACGGTACCCGTCTCAACTCTATGAAGGAGCGGTAGACCGAGGAGCGGAGTGGATCTGCCACCGAGTGGAGGATGTGAAAGAAGAGGCGCTGGAGTACTGGGGGCACATTGATCTGGTGATCGCAGGCTGGGAGTGTCAAGGGATGTCACGGGCAGGAGAAGGAAGGGGGATGGACGATCCAAGGAGTGGGTTACTCAGAGAGCTCATCTGAATCCTCAAGCTGATCAAGCGGAAGCAAGGGGAGGTGGTGTACATCGTGGAAAACGTGGACACCAGAGATGACAGGAGAGAGGCAGTCAAGCAAGCAGAAGAAGAGATCAAGGAAGAGCTGGGGCAGGAGTGTCATGGGACGCGGCACAGAATGGGAGTCGTACGCATCGCACCCGCAGGTACTGGCAGAACATACTGCCAGAGGCTATGCTGCAGTACGAGCTGACGCTGATGGAGCGTCCTCGTCCGCGTCTAGTCGCAGACTTCCTGGAACCAGCGCGGCTGCCGGCGCCAATGCGACACCCTGACCATGAGACGCAGTATCCCTGCAATGTGGTGGGAAAGCCTCGGCAAGCGTGGCCGACCCTGGTGGCATATGAGAAGGCGGAAGGATTCAAGATGAAGGACGGAGTGGAAGGTCTAGGAATGGTGTTTGATCGCCTAAAGGGAGTGTGGGAGGAACCAACGGCCTTAGAATGCGAACTGGCGATGGGATTCATGGCGAGAGCAACCGCGAGCACGGATGTCACAGAGGAAGAGAGGCGGAGGGCACTGGGGAAGGCCATAGATTTGAACGCACTGCATTTGCTGGTGGCCACCATGAGTCGCCACTTAGAGAGGAATCGGTTGGAGAGGAGGAGGGATCATGCAGCAAGGGCGGACCCAAAGACACGAGAGGAGATCAAGGAAGAGGAGGCGGAGATCCTGCTCGAACATTTGGAGAATGAGGTATGGGAGATGAGGAGAAAGGGAGTGCCGCAGGAGCAGCGAGCGGAAAGGCTGAATGATCATCAGGGGATCCCGGGCCGTTATCCAGACCAAGAGGAAGAGGAGGAAGAGTGGTGGGAGGGAGAGCCCGGGATGGACTGGGACTCAGAGCAGGAGGAGGACCCTACAGAGAGGTGGATCCCTGATCCTGACGAAGTATTTATGGGACCCAGCAGGGCATACATGGTGAGGGCCATCAATATCACTCAGCCCTACTAAAATTAGCCTAAAAGATCCGGCAACCAATCCAGTGCCTCCAAGCCTCCATGCTCTGTCAGCCATGCTGCGGCCTCCATCAGCAACTCATCCTCCCCCATGCCCCCTGTGCCTTCCATCCCGCCCACGTCGCCAATGCCCTCCATACCCTCCATGCCACCCATGCCACCCATGCTGCTCATGCCACCCATGCTGCTCATGCCACCCATGCTGCTCATGCCACCCATGCCACCCATGCCACCCATGCCATCCATGCCACCCATGCCACCCATGCCGCTCATCCCACCCATGCCACCCATGCTGCCCACATCGGCAACGCCACCCAAGCAGTCAAGCCCGATGCTGAGAGTACGTGTGCATCGCACCCCAAGCGTTTGCCCACCGGCAGTATGAATGGTAGGAGTTGGACCGGTGCCCAAGGCGCATACAGAATATCCGCCCACACCCTTGAAGTCACGGGTGTGACTCATGTTGGCTTGGGTGTGATTCGCACTGACATGTGTATCAGTACTATCACCCACGTCAACAGTGGTAGGAGCACCAGCACCACCAGAGGCATCACCAGAAGAACCACCAGAGGCGCCACCAGAAACAATGGCGCCATTACTAACCCTTCCAATGGCCGGGTCACTAACATCCAACTGCTGTCGTGACATGACAAGCTGGTAACCATGCGTATCTTCTGCATCACACTGCGTACCACTCCCTGCGTGAAAAGCCAGTGCAGGCGGCACCTGGGGGAGGTGTAACCGGTGCAGGTGCGCAGCAGCAGTGCTTGCATATTGCTCGTGCCCGGGGTTGTGGTGGTTGTGGTTGTTGATGGGAGGGGGAGCGAGCGAGGTGAGGGGGTGATGGGCAGTGGTGGGAGCAGGGCCGCATGAAACAGGGGCCATGGCAGCTGCAGGAATGCTGAGAGGAGTGATGAGGGGAGTGGTGAGGGGAGTGGTGAGTTGAATGGTCAGAGGAGTGGTGAGATGCCCCTGCTGCTGCTGCTGATGGTGCCCCTGCTGCTGCTGCCCCTGCTGCTGCTGCTGCCCCTCCCCTTGGTATTGCCAGTACTCATATTCACAGAGCGGGGTTGCCAAAGTAGGCAGCACAAGAGCGGGTGGCAACACTGCAGCGGGCGGGGACTCAGTAGTGGGTGGCAACACTGCAGCGGGCGGGGACTCAGTAGTGGGTGGCAACACTGCAGCGGGCGGGGACACAGTAGCGGGTGGCAACACTGCAGCGGGCGGGGACTCAGTAGTGGGTGGTGACACTGCAGCGGGCGGGGACTCAGTAGTGGGTGGCGACACTGCAGCGGGCTACAGCTCGGCAGAGAGTGGATGCGGCTCTGCATGAGGCGACATGCAATGCAGCGCCAGCGCCGCCGCCGCCGCTGCTGCTGTTTGGTGTGGAGTGTGGGTGGTAAGAGGGAGCAGAGGAGGCGACAGGAAAGGAAGCGCAGCAGCTGCTGCTACTGCTACTGGTTGGTTCTGAGCCATAGTTGGTGGCACAGTGGGGCCTTGAGATGGGAGCTGGGCCCACGTCTGTTGTTGTGCTGTAAGCTCTGCTTCCACAGCAGGACATGCCATGGACTGAAACGCCAATGCTGCTGCTGCTGTAGTTGCTACTGCTGCTGCTGTAGCTGCTGCTGCTGCTGCTGCTGTAGCTGGTGCCTGATCTGGTGCTGATGTGGCTGGTTTCCAAAACGCGGGTCCTGCTGCCGGTGTCTGAACGGGTGCTGCTGTTGTAGCAGGGATCCAACATGGTGCTACTGATGTGGCTGGTGTTTGAAACGCCGCTCCTGCTGCTGTAGCCAGTGCCTCGTACTGCGCTGCTCTGATGCCCGCCTGCGAGCCATTCAGCAGATGACGTGGCACAAGATCTTCCAGCAGCCCCTGCAGCTGACGTGGCGCTGAGTCATCAAACTGGTTACCGACCGCAGTCACAGACGTAGGCACAACAGCCACGCCCACATTGGTGGCACTGCCACTTCTGCTGATAGGCCTCCTGTAACCGTCACTGCCGCCCGTCACGGGGCGCCAGTTGTCGTGCCTCTCGCTGCTCCGGTTGTTGCAACCGGCATTGTTCCCAGCAAGAACGACGCTCCAATCACGGTTACCGATAATATTCCCAGCATAATTCCCGGCGCGGTTACCAGCGTTGCTGTTGCTGCAGCTGGTGCTGCTGATGGGGCTGCTGCCATTGCTGGGGCTTGACAAGAGTTCGGCGCGAGAGGGATTGGCACGGAGCACCGAGATCAGCAGAGAGTGGGATTCCAAAGGGACTTCTAGCGGGGTGCCTGAAAGGGCAGCTGGGGATGTGGATGGGGGAACCATGGGAGCAGAAGTGGCACTAGCAGCACTGACACCAGCAGCACCGGAAGCAGCAGCACCGGAAGCAGCAGCACCGGAAGCAGCAGCACTGGCACGAAAAGGAGGGGTATTGTTCAAGGGAGGGGCAGCGTTAGAAGGAGGGGCAGCGTAAAAAAGAGGGGCAGCGTCAAAAGGAGGGGCAGCGTCAAAAGGAGGGGCAGCGTCAAAAGGAGGGGCAGCGTCAAAAGGAGGGGCAGCGTCAAAAGGAGGGGAAGCGTTAAAAGGAGGGTCAGCGTCAAAAGGAGGGGAAGCGTTAAAAGGACGAGCATCGTTGCAAGCACCAGCAGTGGCAACATCGGAAACGGCCAAGCGGGTGAGCGACGCGAGCAGATTGAGGGAGTGTGGCTGCTGCTGCGACGGCGACTGTTCTTGCTGCTGCTGGGGCTGCCACCTTTGCTGCCGTTGCTGCAGCTGTTGCTCCTGTTGCAGTTGCTGCTGCTCGAGCTGCTGCTCTAGCTGCTGTTGTAGCTGCTGTTGTTGCTGCTCTATCTGCTTCTCTAGCTGATGCTCTAGATGCTTCTCTAGCTTCTGTTCGAGGTGCTGTATCCGCTGCTGTTGTAGCTGCTGTTGTAGCTGTTGTTGTAGCTGCTGTTGTAGCTGCTGCAGCTGCTGTTGTTGCTGTTGTTGCTGCTGCTGCTGCTGCTGCTGCTGCTGCTGCTGCTGCTGCTGCTGCTGCTGCTGCTGCTGCTGCTGCTGCTGCTGCTGCTGCTGCTGCTGCTGCTGCTGCTGCTGCTGCTGCTGCTGCTGCTGCTGCTGCTGCTGCTGCTGCTTCTGCTTCTCTTGATGCTGCTGCGGTTGCTGGTGCGGCAGCGGCTGCAGCACAGTGCACATTCCAGCGTCCTTCCACCCCAGCTGGTCGCCGCTGTTATTCCACCGGGAGGAAGAATCAGTGAGAGGATAAAAACTCACTCTATTTGGCCTGAGCTGCATGGGAGAGTGAGACGCGTGAGTGGCGGGAGAGGCGAGAGTGGCGGGAGAGGCATGAGCGGCATGAGTCGCACAAATACCCGCCTGAGTCGTTTGAAAATCACGGGAGGGCTCAAGCCGGGGGAAGGTGTGAAATCCTGGAGAGGAGTCAAAGGTTCTGACATCCAAGTCCTCGGAGAAGTGGCGGGCGCGAGGAGCATGAGAGGGCATGAGAGGAGCATGAGAGGGCAAGCACGGTTCCGACATTAAGGAGGATTCGTCTTCACGTGACCGCTTGCCGAGAGAGGAGGGCGTGGAAGAGTGCTGCTGGGTCAGGCAGCATGGGGCGGAAAAGGACTGCTGCACCGCTCTGCACTCCTCTTGCTGCTGCTGCTCCGGCTGCGGCTGCGGCTGTTGATGCTGTTGCGGGGGCTGCATCTCCTCCCGGCGGGGATGTGCTGCAGGTGCGTGCTGTGCTGCATGCTGTGTGTGCTGTGCTGCAGCAGCAGCAGCAGCGGCGGCGGCAGCAGCAGCAGAAGCATCCGGTGCTGCAGAGGGACTAATTCGGAAGCTAATGGGTGCGTCACTGTGGTTGTGCTTGCCCACATACGCCACCCGGGTGAAAATTATGGACCCGGGCGGCTTGCCTGCCGCCCGGATCTGCACGGCCGCGTCGAAACCAGGCGGCAGCTGCGAGGGGTGGACGGCAGGAGTGAGGTGTAGTAGCTGCCAGTCAACGCGCTTGCAAGCGGGACATGAGCGGACGACGGTGGGAGAGGGGGCGGCAGTGCTGGCTTCAGCAGAATCACCAGCAGCATCAGCATCAGCATCATCAGCAGAATCATCAGAAGCATCAGCAAGGGCGTCATTGGGATCAGCCTTGGAATGAGGAGTGGTATTGGCATCAGAAACTGCACCGGCATCAGCAGCAGCCGCCGCAGCAGCAGCAGCAGCAGCAGCAACAGCAGCACCCGGAGCAGCAGCAGGATGGTCAGAAAAGTTTGAAGGCGTTGCTGCTAGCACGGATGGTGTTGCTGCTGTTGCTGGTGTTGCGAGTGCCCCTGCTGCTGATGCAGTGGGTGACCATGCGGCTCCTGCATCGGCCTGGCGGGTGTCAGTGCTGGCAGGCGGAGGGAGGCACGTGGAGCGCGCACAGCGGAAGTACGACCTGTGGTGGGGGACAGCACGGAGCAGGGGAGGGGGAGGGAGGAGGAAGGAGAGGGAAAGGGGGGCCGAGGGGTGAAAGAAGATGAGATGATGTGCGAGGGGATGGGAACCAAAGGGGGTGACTAACTAGGGGATGCTGCATCAATTTACCAAGGGAAAGGGGCCAACAGGAGTGGTGCATTGTTGGAAACGGCCAGCAGAATCTGAGATGTCTGGGAATTCGAGTTTTGAGACGTCCCAAAAGTCTTCCTTTGTAGATACAGCTCAGCGGAAGGGAACAACTAGGACGAGAACACAAGTGATACCTGCAAGAAAAGCCGTTTCAGTTTGATACAGCTCACCTGTGGCAAGCGGACTTGACGAGTCGCTTCTCGCCGTACTTGAGCTTTGGAGGCGCCTTATAAAACTTGGCTCAGTTGAAAGCTGAAGCTCGCCGTATTTCAGCCAGCAGAGCCCATCCTTGTGCGGCACCCCTGCCAGCCCAGCAGTGAAAGCCCTCCTTCTCAATACCAAGCCCACGCTCACCTGTGGCAGGATGACTTGACGAGTCGTTTCTCGCCGTATTTCAGCCAGCAGTGCCCGTCCTCCGGCATCACGTCCTGGGGCACGCGCCTCAGCTCCTCCGCGTGCACCACCGCCCAATGCGGGAACTGGTGATGCGCCGGGAGCGTGACGGGGGCGCAACTGGCCCGTGCCGATGCGGGCGTACGACCGCCGGCAGCGCGGGCGCTCGTCGCCGCGGAGAGCGTGGCGGCAGATGAGAGGCGCCGCTGCTGCTGCTGCCGCGCGGACCCACGCCGCGGCTGCGCCAGTGGCGCTGTTGCTGCATTCCCCATGCTGGTGCTGGTGCTGGTTCTGTTGATGGTCCGTGATACCGTGGCAGCACCACCAGGAGCAATGCTGCTGCGGTAGTTCCGAGGCTGCTGAGCGGACCCCTCTTGACGCACCTGCACAGCCGCATTCCCCATGCTGGTGTTTCTGTGAGCCGTGCCGCCGCCGCCGCACCCAGCAACGCTAGCAGTCCCGCTTCCCGTGGTGGTGGAAGTAGCAGCATGCGGCTGAGGCTGAGGCTGAGTCTGCCTTGGCACTATCATGCAGCTGGCGCCAGTGTTGGTGTTACTAGTAGACGTAGTAGTAGGAGCGGGAGTGGTCCCAGTGTGCTTGCTGCTGCCGTATGTCATGATTGCGCCCTACACAATTTTTGGGCCAGAAACAATAAATGCACTATGATGCTCGTGTCTAAGGTAATACCTTGTGGGAACACACCGACTTTAGGGTTTACGACCGCCAGGTACTCCACAACCATAAAACGCCTTAATCCGTCTACCAGACGATGGAGAGAAACGAGAGAGAGGTGAACTCTAAAAAGTTGACGATGTCTTCTCAGATCTAGCTCCAAGGCCGTAAGAGAAGTACAGCTTTTTTCACTTGCGACCGCTGCGTGTGGAAAAGCACAAGCTGCGAATGTTTCGGGAATCCCACATGAGAGAGAGAGAGTAGAGAAACGCCGAGCCGCGCGTGCCAGTACCAGTGGTGTTTCTCTCACGCGGCATGCGAGAGGCGGTGCCACGGGGCTTTGCCGGATGGCTCGCCGCGTAACTGCTCGTGGGGGAAGCTGAGGTTGTACTACTAGTTTCAAACTACTAGCGCGTGACCCTCTAAAAAATGTGTGACGCCACATCCCATGCCCAAATCTGGGTTTTCCCCATCTATGCACACTGACCATTGCACGAGCAATGACTACTGTAACTCGAAACATTATTTAGGGTACGCGTGCACAAGTTGTGGCGAAAACGCGGGGCTTTGACTGGGCCGATAAAACAGAAACCGCCGCGGCGTGGTATCACCAACTTAGAGTTTGAACCTCAGCTAGCATTGCTGCCTCAAGTATTCTCCAACGCACAGCGACTTTGACTCCGGGCACTAGAGCATCACCAAACAGAAACCGCGTCCGACGCAGCAGTGTTGGTTCTATTACTAGTAATAGTAGTTATAGCGTGGCAAAATACTTTAGAACGACTCGTTTTAGTACACACGATGCCCATTAGAGGCGCGCCAAGTGTCAAGGGAAAAATTGGGACTGTAAATGGGTCACTGTCAAGATTATGATTTCATGACGGATGATAAGGTGTGTGATCAGTTGGCCATCAAAATATGAATTTAGAGACTGGATCTGTAAAATGAGTGCCGTTCCCCATCCTGAGTTGCAAAGGAGACAGGAAATGGGACTGACTAGGAAAGTTTGCGCGCTAAGATTGGGCATAACAATTCGCGTCTGCACACCACCATAATCTCGTTAGGGGTGGGCTGAGATCCGTACGTCGCGCGCCACTCCGCCACAAGCCGGAAATCCTGCTAGTGCCAAAACGCGATACGAACGCCACACGTCACCACGCCCCCAGCCGTGAAACTTGCTAGCACCAGGTCGCGAAGCGTGCGCCACACGTCACCGCGCCCCTAGCCGTGTCTCGATAGCAGCAGGTCGCATAGCGTACACCACACTACACCTTGCCCCCAGTCGCGAATTCAGCTAGCACTAGGTCGCGAAACGTAAGCTTCACGCCAACGCGCCCACGGCCACGAATCCCGCGAGCAACAGGTTAGCGCAGCGATTGCTTCACGCTACCCTGCCCACAGCAGCGATTCCACGTAGGAGCGCGTAGTGAAGTGACGGTTTCACGCCATAGCTGCGATTTACGCTAGGAGCAGGGACCCAAGTGGACGGTTGTTGATTTCGCCCCTGACGCCACGACTCACGTTAGGAGCAGGATCTGCAGTGGACGTCTTCGCGTAGCCGAGTGTGCAGCTGGTTTTCCCTCGCTAGGAGCAGGAACTGCAGTGTGCGTTTCCTCGTTACCACGTGCACAACCAGATTTTCCCCGCTTGGAGCAAGATTAGCAGTGTTCGGTTTCTCGCTACCCCGCCACACGGGCACACCGGGCTCTCTTGTTGCTAGGAGCTGGAACTGAAGAGCGCGGATCTAGACAGACGCTACAGGATCCACGGCATGGCCGACTTGCAGCACGAGCACACACCTACGCAGGCACCGCATGGCGAGGCGGAAGCACTTGCTGACCCAGACAGGCACTCAGGCACTAGCGCTCGGGAGTACGTAGCGCAGCCCCAAGCAAACACTCTCAAGCGGCCTTGGGTAGGCCCTACGCAGCCACTCCTCCTCGGTCTCCGGCGCCTGAGCTCGGTAGACCGACTTTGCTCGGAGGGGACACCATGCAAATGACACCGCGAGGCACCAGCCGCCCCCATGAGTACCAACGACATGCTCGGTGTACCGCCGCTCTCAGGAACTTCGCAGCGGCTTAGTAATGGGGATGCTCAGCCTCCTTTGGCTGAGGCACCACTCACGGTTGGTGAACAGCGGGAGGCGGCTGTTACCCCACGCACGCCCTCGGTAGACCAGCAAGCATCGCCCAATTGCCCACACGCATCCTCTGGGCTGGTGGATGCACAAGACACCCGAGGGGTAGATGGGCGTGGGCAGGAACCAAGTGATCCGGGGATGGACAGGGCAGTGGCGGCGTGGGAGGCGCAACGCCGGCACTTGCAGGAGCTGCATAATAGGCGGCGGCGCGAGCTTCCACTTGGTGCCACGGCAACAGAGTCGACCGGCACTCTTGGAGCTTCAGTGGGTCCTAGCAGGGCTCCACTTGGCCGACTTGCAGCACGAGCACACACCTACGCAGGCACCGCATGGCGAGGCGGAAGCACTTGCTGACCCAGACAGGCACTCAGGCACTAGCGCTCGGGAGTACGTAGCGCAGCCCCAAGCAAACACTCTCAAGCGGCCTTGGGTAGGCCCTACGCAGCCACTCCTCCTCGGTCTCCGGCGCCTGAGCTCGGTAGACCGACTTTGCTCGGAGGGGACACCATGCAAATGACACCGCGAGGCACCAGCCGCCCCCATAAGTACCAACGACATGCTCGGTGTACCGCCGCTCTCAGGAACTTCGCAGCGGCTTAGTAATGGGGATGCTCAGCCTCCTTTGGCTGAGGCACCACTCACGGTTGGTGAACAGCGGGAGGCGGCTGTTACCCCACGCACGCCCTCGGTAGACCAGCAAGCATCGCCCAATTGCCCACACGCATCCTCTGGGCTGGTGGATGCACAAGACACCCGAGGGGTAGATGGGCGTGGGCAGGAACCAAGTGATCCGGGGATGGACAGGGCAGTGGCGGCGTGGGAGGCGCAACGCCGGCACTTGCAGGAGCTGCATAATAGGCGGCGGCGCGAGCTTCCACTTGGTGCCACGGCAACAGAGTCGACCGGCACTCTTGGAGCTTCAGTGGGTCCTAGCAGGGCTCCACTTGGACCGCGCTTGGCACGACTGCAGGAGCTGAGGCGTTTGTTGGTAGCTGGCACGGGCGGTCGGCAAGAGTGGGCGACGGCAGAGCAGGCGGAGTCGACAGCGGGGAGGCAGGAGGTGCAGGGGGCCCTGCTGGCGGATGAGGGCCGGGAGTGCGGGGCAGGTGGGCAGCAGGGGGTGACGGATGCAGGCCTGCCGGAAAAGGTGCTGAGGAGGCAGCCGAGCCGTCTGGCGGAGGGCCAGCTGGGCCTGCCGACAAAGGTCCAGGGGGAGTTACTCGAGGAGGAGCATTGGGAGCGTGGGGAACAGGGACGGAAACCAGGGAGGGAGCAACCGGAAACGCTGTCGGCGATGCAGCAGGGTCTGCCGGTGGCTGCAGGGGAGACTAGAGACATCAATCCCTTCCCGAAGGCACGAACGGGGGCGTCTCCAAAGGGATGGGCTGGAGCTGTGGAACATACTTTTCTCTTTCGGAGCGCGCAAGGACAAGGTGTGCAGCCCGCGAGCACGGGGCAAGAGGGCGTGCGCCGTCGTGGTCGAGGTCGCGGTCGTGGTCGTAGCGGGACTGCTCAACGAGGGCGCCTCGCGGGCCAGCACGAGCAACAGTCGGAAAGGCAGCCAAGTGAGTTGCAGGAGCAGCAGTTTGAAAGGCAACAACAGCGGAGTCAGCAGGGTGGGCTGCCTCCCCGGCAGCATGAGCAGCTGGGCGAAGGTCAGCAGGGATGGCAGCCAGGAGAGCAGCAGAAACTGTGGCTTAGGGAGCAGCAGGAACTGCAAATGAGGGAGCAGCAGGGAATGCAGCCAGGAGAGCAGCAGGAACGGCAGCCAGGGGAGCAGCAGAAACGGCAGCCAGGGGAGCAGCAGGACATGCAGATAGGGGAGGAACAGCAGGAAATCCAGATGGGGGAGCAGCAGGCACGGCAGCCAGGAGAGCAGCAGGAAATGCAGATGGGGGAGCAGTTGGAACTGCAGCCTGGGGAGCAGCAGGAGCTGCAGCCAGGGGAGCAGCAGGAAATGCAACGGGGGGAGCATCAAGAAATGCAGCCAGGAGAGCGGCAGGAAATGCAGTCAGGAGAGCAGCAGGAGCTGCAGCCAGGGGAGCAGCAGGAAATACAACGGGGGGAGCAGCAGGAAATGCATCCAGGAGAGCAGCAGGAAATGCAGCCAGGGGAGCAGCAGGAAATGCAGCCAGGGGAGCAGCAGGAAATGCAGCCAGGGGAGCAGCAGGAAATGCAGCCAGGGGAGCAGCAGGAAATGCAGCCAGGGGAGCAGCAGGAAATGCAGCCAGGGGAGCAGCAAGAACTGAGGCTGGAGGAGCAGCACCCGGGAGAGCAGCAGGGGCAGCAGCTGGGCACCTGGGTGGGTGATACATGGGAAGTCATGGGTGTAGCGAGCCCACTTCGAGTGGAGCAGCAAGAAATGGAGACAGATTTGGTGCCTGTGTCACAGCTCTCGGGCCACAGTGGGGAGCACCAACAAGATCTTTTTGTTCCTCCTGGGGAGCTGCAGATAGGGGAAACGGATCAGAGAGGGCAGCAGCTGCGTGAGCTGAGCGCTCAGGCGCAGGGGCCCTTGGACGACCAACTGCCACGAGGCAAGGGCAGGAGGCGACGCGGAGGCCAGGGCAAGCAGCGGTCGGGCAATCAGCAGGATCAGCAGGCAGAGGGCGAGTTGGGGCGGCCGCTTACGAGCCAACGTCCGGGAGGCCAGCTGGTGCGACGGCGGCCACTGTCAGGGGAACAGGGAGTGACTGCAGCACCTGAGGGCGTGCA